TTTTTTTTTGGTTTTTCGAGACAGGGTTTCTCTGTGTAGCTTTGCGCCTTTCCTGGAACTCACTTGGTAGTCCAGGCTGGCCTCGAACTCACAGAGATCCGCCTGGCTCTGCCTCCCGAGTGCTGGGATTAAAGGTGTGCGCCACCACCACCCGGCCCATGAACAATTTTACAATCAAATTTGTTTCCTTTTGTGGTGAATAATGGTTACAATAATTGCCAGTTTGCTCCTTTACCTCATTCCCCTGCCATCCCCCAACTCTCCTACCGGTAACCATTACCTATTTCATTCACAGCTCTACCGATAGAAGCGTACGCAGTGCTGCAAGCGACAAAGGAAGGCTTCTAACTAGGCACACCGACAGGTAGCTGTAGACAGAACAATGTGCCCAGTTGGCAGCATTTGCGGTTACAGTGTCATGCAAAGTGAAAGATGAAAGAGAGTTTTGTCTCTAGTGGTTAATACTTACATCTGGTAGGGCCTGAGTTCTCACAGTCAACTCACCAGCCCAAGCTGAATCGTTTCATTCTTCATTCTGTACTAGTCTATCTCTTCCAGGTTTTTCCATTTATCCTATAGGCAACATAACTTGGAAACTTACTCTTAATGGTTGGCACTGCTTATTTCTTGTTCTCATATCTCCTTCCTCTCAAGTTCCTACTGTTATTGGCACAGCTATTAGAAAGGAGGGCAGTGTGGATTTCTATGATTCTGCTTCTTTCCCTGTTCACAGACTGTTCCCATTAACTCCTGATATCATCTATTAACATTTCTCCTGGACTCTGCTTGGGATTAAAGGCGTGTGCCACCGCCACCCAGCCTTCTCCCGGACTCTTGTGGTTAAAATCGTTCTCTCCATAACAGTCCTGTAAAATTGTAATGTCGTGAACTACTGCAACTCTTTCGGGCTAGTCACAGGTGCATTGGAAAGACAACGTCCCGTTCTTAAGAAGCCCGAATTCATGGTCACACTTGAAACATCAAAGACTTTAGGAGCTGAATCAGGTCCTCTGTATGTTTTTAACAGCATCCCCTCTGGCTCACCTACAGGAGAGTCATCAGAGGGGGGAGATTTTCCTTTTGTCATTGCTATTTTATCTGTCGTCTGAGAAAGTGACTAGAGGCAGCCAGCAATGTGATTCATAGAAAGAAAGCAAGGAGGGCAGGCAGCACACATGCTCCTGGGGTCATGCCCAGAATTATGCAGCGAACTACGCATTGGCCTTGCCAAAATGGGTCAGGTTCTCCAGGGCCTTGCCCCCAGGAGAAGTTATTTATTCATGCTATTCTCTGATTTTTGTCCCCTGAAGAAGTCACATGGCTCCCAGCAGGTTTCTCTGTGTAGCTCAAACTGACCTGGAACTAAGAGATCCAACTGCCTCTTTCTCCCAAGTGCCTGGAGTAAAGGCCTGCACAATCACCACCCAGGAAAGTCCTGTCTTTTACAAAAAGGAGGAACTGTACCTATCATCCCATAGCTGACCTAGCCATTGATGGCCTGTGCACCATGCCCTACAACAGGAAAGGGTCCTGCCTCAGCCAGGAGGTTAGGGCTGCCACTGAGAGCACTCTGTCAGCGGGGATGAGCCCTGCTGCCACACTGCGATAAATCCAGCAGTCATCCCCAGGGTCTAAGAGCGCCTGGATTGTGGAAGGAGATGTATTTAGGGATCTCTGGGTCCAGGAGAGCCAAGCTTGGCTTAAATCTGTGTTAATCTGCAGACCCATGGGGTTGTTCTCCTTATGTCCTCCTGCCCTGCCTACTAGGAGTTGTACCAATCAGAAGAGGTTTTAGATGATAACACGTGTGATCTGTGGATACAGGGCCCTGAGTGAAGGAGCAATGATGTTCACTTTCATTTTTCAGGTCAGCAAGAAGTTGCGAGATGAAGTTGGCCTCCTCTTTACCAACCGCACCAAGGAGGAGGTGAATGAGTGAGTGTCTTGAGGGATGGAGGGAGAGAAGCTGAGGGTCAGGGAAAGATGGAAGGATATCTTCGTGCTAACATCATATTGGGTCTGGCTCCTGGAAGTGTGGTGGTATTTTACTTGTACTGAAATGTGATTTTAATTGTATGTTAATAAATAAAGTTGTCCGGGGGTCAGAGCTATTAGAGCCATAGCAAGTGCGTGGTGGCGGTGGCACACGCCTTTAATCTCAATACCATAGAGGACCTGGAGGGCTGTCCACACAGGCAGTGACAAGGCATGTGTTTGGGTTTACAACCAATGAGAAGGCAGAACAGCTAGACTATATAAAGACATACACACAGGAAGCAGGTCCCTTTTTTCAGAGAGCTCTCTTGGCTGAAGCAGGAAGGGTAAGGCTCTTAGCTCTGACCTCTTGGCTTTCTTCTCTGAATCGGCTCTGTGTTTCTTATTTAATAAGACGGTTGGTTACATCTACATAGAAGCCTTTTATTGAAGCTGGGGTTCTGTAACCGGGGTACTCTCATTCTCTCTGGTATGGTCCTCTGATGAAGGAAGTCAAAAGATTATTTTTACCATTTATTAACAAGCAATCCGTGCACAATTTTCACAAGATAGAATGGGGAATCTGAACCAGGTCACCAGCTGCTCTGCTGTGATGCTTACTGTGTGTTCCTCATTCCAAAAGGGCCTGTGCATCCCTTGGTCCTGCCTTATATTTGGGTCTTGACCATTCCCACTGTGAGTAGCATCACTCCTTCAGTTAGTTCCCGGACTGTGCAAAAAAGAGAAAGTGAGCTGAGGACCTGAGGGACGATGAGATAGGAGGCTCCAGCTAAACTAAAGCACTGCTGACATTACAAGTGCTGAGGATATTCCACAGAGCAGAATGTGGTGGGACACGCCTTTAATCCCAGCACTGGGGAGGCAGAGGTAGGAATCTCTGTGACTTTGAGGCCAGCCTGGTCTACAAATCGAGTTCCCGGATAGCCAAGGCTCATACACAGAGAAACCCTGTCTCAAAACTAAAACAGTCAGGCGGTGGTGGCGCACACCTTTAATCCCAGCACTCGAGAGGCAGAGCCAGGTGGATCTCTGTGAGCTCGAGGCCAGCCTGGGCTACCAAGTGAGTTCCAGGAAAAGGCGCAAAGCTACACAGAGAAACCCTGTCTCAGAAAAAAAAAAAAAAAAAAAAAAAAAAAAGGAAAAGAAAAAACAAAATAAGTTCCACAAGGTGGTGGTTTTGGGTTCACTTTCTGTCCTTTGGAGATAGAGTCCCCGGCTAGCCTGGAACTCACTAGATCAGTCTTGACCTCACTCTGGGGGCAAACCTTCTCCCTGAGTCTCCTGAATGCTGGAATTAACAGATGCGCATACCCAAGCCCACCTCATTTTGTCACATGTAGAAGAGTGAGGGGTGAGGCTGGATCAGGACATGGTGAGGGGACCCTTGCCAGGCAGTGTCAGACACTCCCACATCTATGCTCTCTGGAGCCCCAGCTCCTGGTTCCACCCTTTCTCATGGGTCCTGAGGCAGCATGGAGGGAGCAGGTGTTGAGCAGTAGAGGAGACAGTCTGAGGTTCAGTCCTGGCTGCAGCCAGGCCAGATGCCTGCTTGATTTAGACAGAAGAGCTGCTGTAGGACTCAGCCCAGCCAGCCTTTCCTCATCATGAAGGTGACAGGGAGCCGGGCTGCAATCTAGAAGACTGTGTGGGTGGAGGTCAGAGGAAAGACCCACTGAGTCAGCATAAGGCAAGGAATGGCCAGGGTGTGAACCCAAGAGGTGGCGGGAAAGCCCTTGGCAGCCTGAGCCAGGACAGTCTATCTGAAGTAGTTGGGACACTCGTGGGCGACCAGGTTCCAGGCTTGGTCAAAGGCCTCCACGACAGCCGGCTCCAGGGGCCCTTCCTCAGTAGCGGCCAAGTTTTGCTCCAGCTGCTCCAGGCTGGACATGCCCAAGATGACTGCATCCCCTTGGGTGCCCTGCAAGGGGAGACAGCCCGATCTCAGTACCCTTCTGGCTCCTGTCAATTGCCCCTCTTGGCCTATCTGTTGCTAACATTTGGGAATCTGCATAAATTTACATCCTACACACCCAGAGAGAACTGACTGTATCTCTGACAGTTAGACCTGGCCTGCCTCCGGCCCCATCACTGCGTTCATCTGTGTAGGCTGAAGGGTTCTTCCATTTGTAAAAACACCTGAGGTCATTTGCCTGTAGCTAGAGTTTTCCTGCCTGACCCACAGTCAGGACAAATCTCTCTCACCTGCCAGTCCCACAGCCTCTCAGACCCGACCAAGTAAACACAGAGACTTATATTGCTTACAAACTGTATGGCCATGGCAGGCTTCTTGCTAACTGTTCTTACAGCTTAAATTAATCCATTTCCATTAATCTATACCTTGCCACGTGGCTCGTGGCTTACCGGCATCTTCACATGCTGTTTGTCATCGTGGCGGCTGGCAGTGTCTCTCTGACTCAGCCTTCCACTTCCCAGCTTTTTTCTCCTCCTTGTCCCGCCTACACTTCCTGCCTAGCCAATGGCCAATCAGTGTTTTATTTATTGACCAATCAGCAACACATTTGCCATACAGAACATCCCACAGCATTTGCCTCTTATTAGCTCCACTTAGGGAGCATCCTTTGGAAGCATGCCACATACTATGTTGTTACCTCAGGCTGACGCTGAAGAGACTTCATGGGCAAGATGCAGACTCCCAGGGCAGAGGATGCAGGCTCCCACCCAGAGGAACAGCACTTACATATGCTGCAAATAAGTTTACATTGATTTCTATCCCCTTAGTAGGACTGTATGGACTCCAGGCTCCTCATCAACAGCGCTAATCATAATGCCTAAGGCCTAAGAGAGACTTAAAACCACGGTGCAAGATTCTGGGCCAAGCCTGGCACAGACGACTAGGAGGAGCAAAGGCAGACATATCATGAGAATAGAAGACAAGAATTCCAGAAGATGGGGGAAGTACGCTCTTGAGAATTCACTTAAAGTCCCGCCTAGGGGCAGAAGCTGAGCAAGCAGACAAGGGATGGCTGGGCTACCTGGAGCTGTGAGTGGTGGTACATCCAGCGCAGGGCAGCCGAGGTCATGCTGGGGGCGCTGTTGCCATAGGTGGTCTGCAAGGCCTTCTTCACGAGGTCAATGCCCTTGAAGTGGTCTTCCTTCCAAAAGCTGATTGGATAGGGAAGGAAGTGCAGGGGTCAGTAGCTTGGTGTCTTTTGAGTGTGGTCTACTCCTTGCAGGCCTGGGGGGCTGGTGGCAGGGAGGTAGCTCACTTGGTGGTATGCTTGTCTAGCCATGCAGGAAGTCCTGAGTTCAGTCACTGCCTCTTCATAGAATGGGTGTGGCAGCACACATCTTTAATCTCAGCACTAGGGGTAGAGGCAGGAGGACTGGAAATTTAGGTCATCTTCAGTCACATAGCAAGTTCAAGACCAGTCTGGGATATATGAAATCTTGTCTCAAAAAATTGTTTGCCTGCTCTTGGGACTCTTTTCTTCCTATTGGGTTACCTTGTCCAGCCTCAGTGTAAGAGCTTTGGCCTTGTCTTATTGTGTCTTCTTTTGTCATGTTTGGTTATTGTCTCTTGGAGGCCTGCTCTTTCCTGAGGGAATACAGAGGGGGAGTGGATCTGGGGATGTGTTCTGGAATATTCCTTTACCCTGTAAAGATATGTCACTGTGATTAAGAGCTGAATGGTCAATAGCTAGGTGGGATTTCCAGGCACAGAGGATGCTGGAAAGAAGAAGGCAGAGACACAAGGGGACTTCGAGACATGGAGAACAAGCAAGACATTCAGGAGGAGAGGTAACAGCCACAAGCCATGTGGCAGCACATAGGTTAATAGAAATGGGTTAATTTAAATTATAAGAGATAGTTAGAAACAAGCCTAAGTTATAGGCTGAGTTTTCATAATTAGTAATAAGTCTCCGTGTAGTGATTGAGAGCTGACTGACAGGACAGAGAAAGACACACTACAGGAGGGATCTGGAATGAGTGGAGGGTGGGGATCTGTGGTCAGGATGTATTGTATGAGAGAAGAATCTATTTTCAATACCAATACCAATTTTTTTTTTTTATTTACAAAGTGGCAGTCCGTAGTGGCACACACATCTAATTCTAGTACTTAAGAAGCTGTGACAGGAAAGAAGAGCATATGTTATGGGTAAGCCTGGGCTACATAGTGAGCCCTATCTAAGAAAAAGAGAATGGGACAGGAAACAATTTCCTTTTAACTATCACTGTGCACGTATTATAGTTGACAGTCTTGCTAATTTTTCTTCTTTCTATGTTTTCTTAGTTCATTTTCTCTCTCTCTCAGAACTGAGGACTAAACTCAAACCCGGGGCCTTGCACTTGCTACACAAGTGCTCTATCATTGAGCTACATCTCCAACCCCACCTTTTCTCATTTCATCTTACTTGATTTGATTTGATTTGATTTGTGTATTGGGGTTATGTGTGCATATGTACACATACAAATGTGTACAGTTGTGTGCACACAAAGGCCAGAAAAAAAATGTCAGTGTCCTGATCTATCACTGCCCATCTTTAGAACAGGGCCTTTGGGGGCTGGAGACACGGTTTACCAGTTCTTCCATTCCACATGGCAGCTAAGAACTTTTTGCAACTCCAGTTTCAAGGTGATCTGATGCCCTCTTCTGGCCTCCTCCGGCACTGCATGAATGTGGTACACAGACATGCATGCAAACAAAACATCCATACACATTAAACAAACAAACAAATAAACTGGGTCTCTTACTGGGCCTAGGCTCAGCAGCAAGCAAGGCCAGTGATCTTGTTTCAGCTCAGCACTGTACTATGGGCACGCAAGCAACGGAGAATGACTGGTTATGTGGCTGCTGGGGTATGAACTTCCAGCCAGACACAGCCCCCAACACAGCTCACCAGTCCCTGTAGAAATAATCCCATTTCTTCCCAAAGAGGCGGCTCAAGGGCTGCTTCTCATCTTCTATTTCATATTTGTATTTGGCAGTCAGCAGGCCCCCTGCAGGAAGGCAGCAGTCAGAACCTGGCTCAGACTCCTCCCACAGATAGCCAGGTTATTCCCTGCTAGGTACTGAAGAACAGGAGGGAGCCCGGAAAGAAGGGCAACAAGCCATCTCCTTCTCAAAGCCTCCCACCTCCTGGGGCCTGGACTGGGCATCCATCAGAGCATCAATAGGCAAACATAGGCCAGGCATGCCCACCCACCATCCACAGGACCCGTGCCCATGGCAGCCCATACCGGCCAAAGGGTTGAAGGCATAGAACTTCAATCCAAAGTGTCTGAGGCAGGGGAGGAGCTCCTTCTCCACCTGCCTGGTGGTGGCGTTGTACATGCCCTGCAAGGAGATAGTCAGAGAGGGGAACATGTCAAGGGACCCCAAAGGTATCTTCTAAGTCCCTTAGTTTAGTCCTTAACCATCCTAGACCTTGACAACTAGGGCATTCATGTAGTGCTGGTGACTAGTGTCATGGTGATGCTCAAAGATAAAGGATCAATGGAGTCTTGGACCCCAAAGTCTGGATGGTCCTGGCTACCACATTCCCCTCACCTGGTACACAGTTGGCATGATCCAGCCATTTTTCTTGCAGAGGGTACAGATCTCAGCCACTTCCCAGGAGGCATAGTTGGACAGGCCAAGCTCCACAAATTTGCCCTGCAGGGGAGAGACTCCATCACAACCCAGCTCAGGCCAGGAGACAAAGAAGGAGAGACTGACTGGGTGGGGAGCCTGGAGGGAGGTCTGTGTCCGCCTCTGCTGGGTGTTCCCAGCACTCACTCTCCTGGCAGAGTCAAGTTGAAAAGGTCAGAGAGCATCTCCCCAAGTTCAGGGACCACCCTCACCTCCTGATGCAGCTGGTGGCAGGTCTGCAGCGTCTCCTCTATAGGGGTGCTGTGGTCTGGCATGTGTAAATAGAAGAGGTCCACCCGGGGACACTGGAGCCTCTTCAGTGACGTCTCCAGCTGGAACCGAATATTGTCAAGTGTCCTTGGTGTCCCAAGGCTTGGAACAGACTTTGTGGCAATTTTCACTTTGGGGGAGAACAATAGAAGTTAAGAGGTAGGGGATCAGTTTTGTGTGGAAAATGCTCACCATGCAAGTGTGAGCCACATGAAAAAGGAGGGTTTGGTAGAACCCAGATGCTAGGGAGAAAAGATAGGCAGATCCTGAGGTTCACTCTCTAGCAGTTTAATAGAAATGGTGGATTCTTTTTTTTTTTTTTTTTGGTTTTTCGAGACAGGGTTTCTCTGTGTAGCTTTGCGCCTCTCCTGGAACTCACTTGGTAGCCCAGGCTGGCCTCGAACTCACAGAGATCCGCCTGGCTCTGCCTCCCGAGTGCTGGGATTAAAGGCGTGCGCCACCACCGCTCAGGCTGAAACAGTGGATTCTAAGTTCAGCTGGAGAGTTCCTGTCTCAAAAAAATGAAGTAGTCGGGCAGTGGTGGCACATACATTTAATCCCAGAGCAAGTTCCAGAACAGCCAGAGCGACACAGAGAAACTGTTTCAGAAAACAAAACAAAAGAGGTGGAATCGACAGAGGAGCATACATATTTCTGGTCTCAACATCCAAGTCATCATGGGCAGGAGCACACACACATGCACACACGCATACAGACCAACATAAAGACACATGTGCACACCCACACACAATATGATACTCAGGCTACTTTACTGCAACAGTTAAGGATTAGAGCTGGCCCAGGTGTGGCGCATTCTTAAAATTTTACCCTTTGGTAGGGGGACACAGGAAGGTCAGAATTGCAAGGTTATCCATGGCTGATATTGAATATGAGACTAACCTGGGCTAGGTGATCTACTGGCAGTGGGTTGGAGGCGGGGGTAGGTGGGCCAGCTCTGCCAAATTCTAGCTCTGCCGTTAGTAGCTGTGACCTTGACTAAATTACCCTCCTCTCCACAATACTATCCATTGTAAATGGGAGCAAAACCGATTAACAGTTTACAGAAACATCCTCAGAATTGATTAGGCTTAGGTGACAGGGGCCAATACAAGCAGTTGGTGTCCTCACTAGGACCATCACTCAGGGGACAGTTGGCTACGGAGAAAGAGGCGGCAGGGAAGAGCGTGCAGTTCCAAAGCAGGGAGATGGACGCTGGCCTGGGGGTGCAAACGGAGTTTTCTTTGGGCTGCCAGCTCACAATAAAATGACACTGAGATTTACTTTCAATTATGAAAGTTCAGCTCACAGCTTAGGCTTGTCTCTAACTGGCTCTTATAACTGAAATTAACCCGTTTCTATTGATCTGCATTCTTTTCTGAGGCTCGGTGGTTGTGTCTAATCTTCACTTAGCTGACTTTGTCCCCCAAGGAGATTTGTGTACGCCCTGTTGTGCATACACGATTCAGTTACCACCAGGAAAGTTTCCACCAAATTGTGCTGTGCTTCAGTATCCCTAGAATCCAACACTGGCTGTTCAGTTGTGTTGAACCATACTGCCTTCTTACCTCCCGCAGATTGTTACTCTGCTGGTCATGGTGGTCGAAGACACCCCCACAGGCTTACATGACTATTTCCCTATGCCAGTTGAGGGGCTACTCCTTGGTAAAACTGAAGCCACTGGTAAGCCAACAGACACCCAGAGTTTGAGAAAGCAAAGTCCAGAGCCCTGAACAAGAAAGCAGATCTATTGCCTGGTCCAAAGTCTGTGCGGGGGCTGTGGTGGCCACAAAAACAGGGAGTCCAGGTGATGAGGTGTGACAGAGCCACCTACCTGCTAGGGACTAGATGGGAGAGGCTGCACAGTGTGAGAGTCCCTACGTGTTCAAAGACCCAGAGACAGGCTAGCCCCATGGAATTTGGCTGAACCACGGTTGGTGTATTGTGGGAAGAAGGTCCTAGGCCACTCTTCTGGAAGAAGGGGAGGAGACCACTATGGTGTTATGCAAACATAGCCTGTGGAGTTCATGGTTCTCGGAGCTCTTGGGCAGACATGGTAAGATCAGAGCCTCAGGGGTGGGATGAAGCTGTACTGGGGAGGAATCAGTTCTGTTCAATGTGGGTGAATGACAGGAGTGACCCTTACCTTTGCAGCCCCTGCGGTCTAGTCCAAGCCCCAGGTTCCCCAGGATGCTCTCGGACTGACCGTCTGCATACACATATGCGGTGTCGATCTCCGTGTGGCCCCGCTGCAGGAAGGCGCGCACTACCGCGGCGCTGGAGGTCACATCCAAGCTGCTTCCTATCTCCATGGCACCCAACACGGTGGCGGGCACGGCCCGCGACGACGACTGGAACATGGCGGTGTGGAAGAAGGGAAAGACAGGGAAAGATGCAGACTGTTTTATAAAGATTGAAGCCAGTAGCTGCTGCTGTAGCTGGCACACTTGTACCCACGGCATTAAGTAGCTTTCAGTGACCGCTCCCACTGGGGCGGAGCTTAACGGAGGAAAGGCAGGAATGTGCTGGCAGAGCTGGGAACTCTCTGCATAGTATGTGCCATCCGGAGCTTGGGGGCAGATCCCCATGAGCTAGGTTGCAGACACCTCTAAGGCTTCTGCCTCTCTGGCCCATTCCTGAGTTGCCCTGGGGTCTCCGTACCCTCCTGGAAGAAGTTTAGCAGGTGGGGGAACCGCAGGCTGCTGTCTTCTCAAACTTTAAGGCAGTCCGGATTGTTCAGAGAATTGAAGATAGAGAGAATCACACGTAGCAAACGTTCATGACAGGCAGTCTTTGAAAACATTTATGCAGTAGGGAATTTGGATTTACACAAAATGAAGATTGTGGGAAATTGTGACATGGTGGGGGATGGTAAACGTAAAAGACCTTTTCTCATGATGATCTTTTAAAAAGACAGTTGAACTCAGTATGGTGGTTCATGCTTATGATCCCTGCACTCTGGAGGCTGAGGCAGGAAGCTTGCCACAAGTTCAAAGCCAGCTGGAGTTACATAGCAAGTACTAGGGCCAGCACCAACCAAATAGCGAGGGGTGTGGTGGCCCACACCTGTGATTCCAGCCCTCAAAAAAGGAGTCAGGAGAACCAACACAAGGTCAAGGCTCTTCTGGGCAACACAGGCAATAACAGGTCTGCCAAGCCTAATAAGGCTATTTCAAATGTTTGGGATTATAGATCAGTTGACAAAGTGCTTTCCTGGTCCTTGATTCAGTACCCAGGGACTAAGGTAACGCCATCTTGTCCTGATTCCATTTTGTGTTTGCTTACACCAGTGGTTCTCAACCTTCCTAACTGGTGACACTTTAATACAGTTCCTCATGCTGTGGTGACCCCCAACCATAAAATTATTTTCGTTGCTACTTCATAACACAACAGTTTGCTACCCTTATGAATTGTAATGTAAATATCTGTTTTCCCATGGTTTTAGATGACCCTTGTGAAAGGGTCATTTGATCAAAGGGGTCTTGACTCACAGGTTGATAACAGCTGGTGCTGTGGATATCGCTCTGTACAAATAAAACACTGATTGGCCAGTAGCCAGGCAGGAAGTTTAGGTGGGACTAGCAGAGAGGAAAATGAGAGAAAAGGAAGGCGGCGGAGAGGAGGAGACGCCAGCCTGCGGTCCAGGGAGCATCATGTAGAGGCAGCAGGTAAAGCCACGGAACATGTGGCGACATATAGATTAACAGAAATGGGCTGAGTATAAGAGTAAGAGCTAGACAATGGTAGGCCTGAGCTAATGACCAAGCGGTTTAAATAATATAAGCGTCTGTATGTTTATTTCATAAGTGAGCTATGGAACTGCCGGGACTTGGCGGGACCCAGAGAGAAAACCTCTAGCTACAAGCTGGCTTAGATGGTTCTCAGCACTCTACGGCCATAAGAGTCATGTCTGCCTTGCCAGCACAGTTGAGATTTCCAAGACGTTGACCATGGTTCAGATGTATTAACCAAAATAACTAATATTAACACAAACTTAGCATTAACTGAAGAAGGTGTAAGTAGAAAAATGACTATTGCTGCCTGGGGGACCAGAACGCTCTTGATGTTTTCATTCTAGCCCATTTTAACTCCATCTTTATTCTTTTTCTTAGAGCTTGTATATCCCAGCAAAATCTTTCAGGCAATATAAAAATTACAATGTGGTTATATTCTGTTTTTCAAGTGAATGATTACAATGAATACAAAACAAACAGTAAAAAAACCCAGCATGTTTTCCATATCCCTTACACGATTAAACATTTTACATATTGCAGGTGAAAAATTATCCCAGGAACCCACATATAAAGTGAGAAATCCATGGAGTCTGCTTGAAGGGCAAAGGAATTTATTAGGGGAGAAAAACTCACTGTACAGAACAGAATTGTCACAGGTTCTGGACCACTGTTCTAGCTGCCTGAGTCAGTCCCACATTCAAGCCCATGAGGGAGAGAAGAGAGCCTACATGTGTCTCAGGTCTTTGTGTGTGTGTGTGTGTGTGTGTGTGTGTGTGTGTGTGTGTGTGTGTCTCAGGTATTAAGGGTAGCCCTGAGCCATGTCCCAGGGACAGGTACTTCAAGGTCATAGGTAGGTAGGGCAGTTACCTGCTACATCTGTAGGGGCTGCGCTTCAAGGTCATAGACAGAACAGCTACCCACTACATCTCCCCCTTTTGTCTAAATAAGAACATTCTGTAACATGAATCTTAAAAGGTCTTATAAGTAGAAAACCTGGAGCCAGATATTGGGGTGATAGTTCAGAGATCAGAGAAACAGAAAAGTCCACAGACAACCTCACCTCACCAACTTCTCAGCTGATTTTGCCTCTTCAGACTGAAAGCCTCTGAGTCCTCACCTGAATGGATCTCAGCTGAAATGCTGCTAAAAAGCCTAAAAGCTTAAAAGCCTCTAGTTCCTGGTCCTCACGTTTTATATACCTTTCCGCTTCCTGCCATCATTTCCTGGGATTAAAGGTGTGTGCCACCATGCCTGGCTGTTTCCAGTGTGGCCTTGAACTCACAGAGATCCGAATGGATCTCTGCCTCCCAAATGATAGGACTAAAGGCGTGTGTGCCATCATTTTCTGGCCTCTATGTCTAATCTAGTGGCTGTTCTGTTCTCTGACCCTCAAATAAGTTTATGAGGGTGCTCAATATATCAACCACAATGTTCTAACCTATTACAAAACTATAAACAATAAGAATGATTATCAAGTATTGTCCAGGAGAGGGGAAAAGAAATAACTTAAACAAAAATAGAAATACAACCAGCAAGAACAACATCAAACAAGAGACACATACTAAAATCTAGAGATGTCCAGAACATAGGTAAATGGTGTGTCCTATCCTAAAAAAATCTAACAGGGGCTGGAGAGATGACTCAGAGGTTAAGAACACTGGCTGTTCTTCCAGAGGTCCTGAGTTCAATTCCCAGCACCCACATGGTGGTTCACAACCATCTGTAATGAGATCTGGCTCCCTCTTCAGGCCTGCAGGGATACATGCAAACAGAACACTGTATACATAATAAATAAATAAATCTTTAAAAAAAAAATCTAACTTAGTATCTGAAATGTTCTTAGCTAAGATATGAGAGGATTATAACTGTAACTATCTAGTCATCAATCCCATCAAAGACCTGAGAAGGAACATAATAATACCTGAGAAAATAGAAAATGCAAGCAAGCAATTTCTGAAATTCTTGCAAGAATACACAGAGATGGCTGGCAGCCAGGACAGTCATCTAAAGTTTCTCAGCACCATTGGGGCATCCAATTTGGCTACAGGCCTAGAATATCTGACAGACCACTTTCAGAAACAGGAATTTTGAAAGACCATCTTACCCTGTCTTGGCAGAGTTCAGTGGTCTCTTTTCCTTGTGTCCTGCTCATCTGGAAAGAACAGTGTGCATATTGTGAGCAGTCGAGGCAAGAGCAGTTCTTTGCCCAGCAGCCATTTTGTTCAAGGAAGAAGACAGACTTCCAAACAGAGTGTCTTAGAATCCCAACATTGTCTCAGGAGTAGATCAGTGCTGCCAGGATCAATCATGTCTCATGTCAACAGAATTCTAAGTTATCAAAACATTTAAATGCCATATTCTCTAGGTCTATGAAATGTTTGAAGATGACCTATCCATCTCACATAAGTTTGTGTAAATCTGGAAAATCTAACTGACAAAACTATAGATATGACAAGCATGGGTGACTATAAATCTGTAAGTCTTATCTACCTAAATAACCTAAGGACTAAGGCTTCACATTAACAAGGTAAACAGTCTGTAAACAGATGTACAGTATAAGGACAATGACCTCAAAATTTGTGACAATGCACAAAATATCTTAAAACAGAGGTAGAAATGTATAGTGCAATGTGATAACAATATCCCTAATATGCATCTTTATACAAAATATCCTAAGCAGAGGTAGAACATACATATAGTATGACAAATATAATTTTACATTTGTATCAATAAAATACTTCAAATAGGAGTAGGAACATGTATACAATATAATGATTATAGTTTTGAATTTGTATCAATATACAAATTACCTTAAATGGGAATATAAAAATGGTTTACATTTGTATCAATATACAAGAATCCATATCAGTGTAAATTATCTAAGGCCGATAGTTAGCTAAATTAGTTTGCTAGTAGACACAATAATCTACCTCAATATACTGTACCTATCCATTCCCCTTTTTTCTTTTCCAAAAAGGAATCCTGAGTCTAAATTTTTATTGTTCTACCCCCAACCCTATAACAACTTATCCATAACCCTGAATGAAAACTTTTGGGAGAGGGGACATCATTCTCTTAAAATTGCTTCTTGCTGTTTAGAAACATCGTGTAAGAAAGCTAAATGGTTAAGTCTCAATAGGACTAGCTGTAATGTTTGTAGCTAGTCTCAGAGTAATGGATAAAGTTATCTGAGGTTCTGGCTAGAAGTGTAATATAATGGACCATCTCATCTTGAAACTGTTCTGAAGTGTTTGCAGTCCAAAGCTGATCATTGAATAGTGTTCTTAGGTACAACGGCATCATTCTAAACTGGTTAGAGTCATTGTTGTTGGGCCCCTTCATTTCTCATCACCAGACTATGCATGTGTCAGCCAAGAGGAATCTAGTTCAAGTTAACTTTCTGAGTTGCAGTACCTTTACCCCAGATTCCAGTAGACTGGATTTTGAACTCAAAGTAGCTTTTGTTCTGATGAAGAAGCACACTAGCTAAAAAAAAACCTCCTGTGCCTCGGATTCTTCTTCCATTCTTCACCATGACATCTCTTCCCATGGGCTGCATGTCCAGCAGTACAGCCAGCATCTCCTTGAGAGGAATATGGCGGGTCCTGCTGTCCCTGCAGCAATGCAGGCAGCACCAGGCTGATGTGGCCATGGTGCAGCTACACAGCCCCACCACTCTGCCTGTGCCAGAGTGTTTCTGGGTTGCAGGAGCTTCGAAGCCCACACAGCTATGCCCCAGGGTACATTCATACCCAAGCAACTTGTTATAGATTAACTGTGTAGGCAAGCAAGATATTTTTCTCAGCCAGGTCTTTTTTTGGCAGGTTGTAGTTTTGCAGTTACAAAAAAGAAAAAAAGGGGGGGCACTTATTTTATTACTTATCTTGAAAGTAACCTTACAAAGATCTTAAAGGAATCACAAACCTAAACTTTTATATATTGAAAAGAATCAGCTTTCGGCCGGGCGGTGGTGGCACACGCCTTTAATCCCAGCACTCGGGAGGCAGAGCCAGGCGGATCTCTGTGAGTTCGAGGCCAGCCTGGACTACCAAGTGAGTTCCAGGAAAGGCGCAAAGCTACACAGAGAAACCCTGTCTCGAAAAACCAAAAAAAAAAAAAAAGAAAAAAAAAGAAAAGAATCAGTCAGCTCTACTTTAAAGGTTTAGAGTACCTACCCACTCATCAATACTTTTTTATATCAGGAAATTGAGGGCAGAAATGGGCACAAGAAATTAATCATCACCTTTGATCACCAACCAAACCTAGCAAGGAAAGTACATCAGCTATCAACTATTGGCTGCTTTCTATTTTTTTATCCTCACCTAATGAATCTCTAACTCAGTTATGTGTCCTTGTGAGCTTTAGATTGTTTTCTGTTTTTTGTTTGTTTGTTTGTTTGTTTATCTCAAAGCTATTATCAAAACAACTGGTCTAACCTGAAGTTATTTTAAGGCTGTGTTTCAGTTAATTATGCACACTGAAACCTGTGACTGTATCCTTCAGTATTAAGAGAATTGGAGCCAGCCTGGCTCCTGGGGACTCAATTGTTTTCCTTAATCATTAACCTGAACTGTGATCTATGCAGCTCCTTAGGTGAAACTCATAGGCTTTAGCTGTGTGACATTTCTTGTATTTATTTTTATTCATCAAAACTCTGTATAAACTAACACTATTATTATCAATTAGACAGTACAGCTTAGGAAGGAATCTTCTTCATATTAATCTACAGGTAAAAACACCCAGTAGAACAGGATGTTTCCATGAGAAAAACACACTACATTACAGGCAGTGGGGATCTCCCCACACCCATTCACACCATGCCAGCTACCAGAGAAGATGGCAGGGGCAAACATGTAAAGGGACAGCAGAAGCAAAAGACACTCTGGGGTCTGTGGTCTCAGGGCCTTGCCTAACCCAGATTTACCTATCAGGGATTTCCCTCCTGATGGGATGACACTCTCTGCTGCTCCTGACATGGCCACCAGCAAATAACCATCATGATATGTCTGAAATAATATGACATAATCTGGAAAAAATTACTATGCTCTGTCAGAAATGAATGTTTCAAGGTTACTCTGACCTTCATCTAACATTGAAGTAAATTATGGTCTTTGTAGGTTTTGCCTTTAAAAACATTGTACCCTGAGCTTCCTCACCAAAAGACTCAGAGGCATAAACCTAAACCAGCTCTTGGTCACTAGTCAATAAAAGACTCAGATCATTTTAATTGGCTTAATCAGCATGGTTATCTGTACCTTTTTCACATGTATTATTATTATTATTATTATTATTATTATTATTATTATTATTATTTGAGACAGGGTCTCACTATGTAATTCTGGCTATCCTGGAACTCAATATGTAGACCAGGCTGGCCTGGAACTCACAGAGATCCACCTGATTTCTACTTTCTGAGTGATGGGACTAAAGTTGTGTGTCACCATGCCCAGCCTCTCACATGGATTATTATAAAAAAAAAAAACCCACAACAGCATGTAAAACTGAGCATGGTCTGGGTGTGGTGGTGAATACCTATCATCCCACCACTCAGGGAGGCAGAGGCAGTTGGATATGTGTGAGTTGAGGCAAGCCTGGTCTACAGAGTGAGTTCTAAGCCGGCAAGAGCTATATAGTAAGATTCTCTCTTCAAACAAACAACAACAGCAAAAATTGAGCCCAGGGGAGCTGGAGAGACTGCTCAGTGGTTAAGAACATGGATTGTTCTTGCACAGGACCAGAATTCAAGTCCAAGCACCCATGGAGAGATTGCTCAGTGGCTAAGAACATGTATTGTTGGGAGGGGAGGGGTGGGGGGGGGGAAAGAACATGTATTGTTCTTGCAGAGGACCTGAGTTCAAGTCCCAGCGCCCACATGAGGCAGCTTACAACTACTTATAACTCCAGTATTATCTCAAAATACACAAGTTTACTATGTGTATATATAAACTTTCTCTCAGGATATTAGTAGCCATACAGAGTACTAATTCTAGAAATAAGCTTCATCTAGCTTTCTGTGCATGTTTTCAGGTTTGAGTCTGAAGCAGGTAATTTGGAACTAAGTTTGTGTACCCTGGTTGTACTTAATAGATTGTGGCCTTCTAACCTTTTAGAGATTGGCTGTATATGACATTTAAAATGTGTAAGTTTTCTGCAGTGAACCACGGCCATTCCTAACAGTGACTTTTGAGGTCTCCTAAAGGTTATGGGGCCCTGCAAGGACAAAGCTACCAGGACTGTAGTAATGCCATTAAGATGACAAATATCACCCAAAGATCAGTTTCAGACTACAAATTGATCAGGACAACTTCAAAGCTGCTAGCTGAGAGGGTCCAGCCTCACTTACTACTCAAGCCAGGACTTCAGACAAGCCCTGCACTTTCCCATCACACAGAGACTGGACAACAAATGATACAGCCAGCTCTCCCAGGACTTGACCATTATCCCAATTTTCTCAGGGCCCCCTAAAGATGTCCTCTAGACAGCAGAAAGTAGTGGGGTGGGTGGTTTTTGGTTGTTTGGTAAGTTCTGAATGTTTGTCATCACTTAGGGGATGGGTTGCAAGTTGTTACTGGTCATAGTCAGGGGAAAAAACTAAGCAAAGGAAGTTAGATTCAGGGATTGCTTTCTGAAAAGAAAATAGGGGGATGTAGGAATGATAGGATAAAAGGGCAGATTACTGAATCTACTTTTAGACTAAAAAGCAACTACTAGTCTCAAATATTTTATATTCGTATGGATTTTTGTATATTGATACAAATTTAAGGTTATTTTTGTTTTAACATAATTTGTGTGTGTGTGTGTGTGTGTGTGTGTGTGTGTGTGTTTCTACTCTTGTTTAAGTTATTGTACCTATGCTGCTCATTTAAAAATGTAATGTAGGCCGGGCGGTGGTGGCACACGCCTTTAATCCCAGCACTCGGGAGGCAGAGTCAGGTGGATCTCTGTGAGTTTGAGGCCAGCCTGGTCTCCAAAGTGAGTTCCAGGAAAGGCGCAACACTACACAGAGAAACCCTGTCTGGAAAAAACCAAAAAAAAAAAAAAAATGTAATGTAAAGTTCTATCCTTGAAAGCTATTATTACAAACTATTTAGGATAATTAAGAAATGCAGGTTACTAGTTAGTCATCTATAACAATCAAACTTGCAGTCATATTAGGTATGTTTTCAAAGTCAAACAGAGATGTAGTTTAGATAGAAAGATGGTCTTCAAACACTTCAGAGACCTACAGAATATGGCATAGTAAGATGTTTTAATAACATAAGGCTTTTCATGACAGTAAGGTACATCTGCTCCTGTCAATACCAATTTACTTCAGAAAAGATGATCGGCATTGAAGAACCTCCATATGGAGTTTTCTTTCATTTATGTGAAGTTAGCCACTGGGCAAGAAACTGTTCTTGCCTCAACTGCTGACAGATGCTGTCCAAACTGGACAAGCAGGAAACAAAAGAAGGCTACTGCCAAACTTTGTCAAGACAAGGTAGGACAGGACTTCACAGAAATGTCTGTCACATATTCTAGGCCTGTAGACTGAAGCTGGATGTTGCAGAGAAATCGTGGGTGACTATCCAGGCAGCCAGCTGTCTCTGTCATTTTTATAGTTTGGGAAGTTGTTTGCTGTGGCAATATATTGTGTATCCTAACAAATTTGCCTGAGGATCAGAGGACTGAGCCAGCTACTAGATTAGACATAGAGGTCAGGCAGGGTTGGCACACACCTTTAATCCCAGTACTGGGAAGCACACATGCCTTTAATCCCATGAAGTGATGTCTGGGCAGAGAAAGATATATTAGGCATGAGGAAACAGGAACTCACTCTCTTTAGACAGAGGATTTCATAGAGGTAAGAACTAGTGGTTGGCTGTTCTGCTTCTCTGATCTTTCAGTTTTCACCCTGATATATAGCTTTGGGTTTTTTATTAAAAGACCATCCTAGATTCAAACAACATCTGGCGTCCAACTTGTGGGGCATGAATTAAAGAAAAAGTTGCTTGCCTGTGGTCTTGCAGACCCTGGCTCAGACCTGAGCTGCATGTGCCTGGAATCTCCCCCTGGCTGGGCCAGACTCCCTAACCTGCTCGCTAAATTTTTGTTGCAACCTCTCTGCAGCAAACTCCATTAGTTTTTTTTGGGCTCCAAAAACCATACGAATTAGTCACTTTCTCAGTCCTTCGTGCAGATGGCTGGCTCTTTGGCTTCTTCTCTCCTGGTGGGTTACGGGCTCTCCCTGGATCCCCAACTCAGGCTGCTACCACACTAGGTAGCTGCCTTAAAACCTGCTTGGGCTTCTATTGTTCTATGCAGAAGCAGTCAGTCTCACATCTGAATCGTCATTTTCGGCAGATTTGGTGAGACAATTGAGATTTCTTAAAGGGAGAAATTAGTTAAAAAATAGTTTTTCTCACATTAAAAAAGGAGAAACATTTTTACAATGGAGGGAATTTGGTCTCTATTTGATAATACAATTGACGGTCTGAAAATGGAACAATTAAATGAGAGGATAATTAATATAGATGGAATGTATGTAATGTCAATTATAAATATTATTTGTTTGATCATTTCTGTTTTATCATTTAAAAAGTTGGTTAATGTTGAGTGCCAAGATAAAAATTTTAGAAAAACTTGTTAAGAGATCATAGAGATATTCAGACCCAGACAGAGGAATTTAAAGGTGAACCAATCTCAGCATTGCATTATGTGGTTACAGAAACAATCTAAGGCTTTCAAACAGCCAACCTTAATCTATGCAGTAACCTTACAGGAACTGCCAAATGCTAAAGGCTGTGTTAAGAGCTGACTGGACTCCTGTGCAAATGTTAGATTTGAGGAGATTCAAAGAAGCAATAGTGTCATATGGTATGCATTCCCTATTTGTAAAGCAGATGTTAAGCTCATGGCCAACTTGTAATAGAATTATCCCTCAATAATGGAAAGATTTGGTTACAGTTGTCTTAGAAGCTGGTCCCCAATTACAATGGAGGACCTGGTGGAAGGATGAAGCTAAGACCATTGAACAACAAAATAGGGCTAGAGGTATGGAAATCTCCCAAGATCAACGTCTTGTAGAGGGAGATTATGCTAATATAGAAAGGCAATCTCTATATGATGACTACACCCTGGCTTTATGATGAATGGCAGCCTTGAATGCTTGGGACAGAATTGAAGAACTAGGAAAGAAAATTGAGTCATTTCAAAAGGGCCCATGTAGTGGCATTCCTGCTGACTTCCTGGCTTGACTCCAGAGAGCAGCACCTAGCCCTAATCCTTCCTTTGTTTAGCCATACCTTTTGTTTCTCTTACCTTTTGTTCCTCTTATCACCCTATGTGAATCTTGTTTGAGAGTCAAGGATCAGAGAGTCCCCCAAGGATCAAAGGCCTATGCAAAACTTGGTCCAGGAAACCTGGAAAACCCTGGTACTTGATAAATCAAGTAATTTGCACCTGGCATTTGGTCTCTGGGAGCTCCTTTTGGGTTGCTTTGAAGGTATGGAAATTAACTATCTCAACTGTAAAAAAGAGTAAATAAATATGCCCTAGGTGAAGGGAAGAGTGCTTCAGTCCTTTGAGGCTTGACCCCCCTGCAGCCATGAAAGGCTAGATTCATTCTTTTTTTTTTTTTTTTTTTTTTTTTTTTTTTTAAAGATTTATTTATTAATTATGTATACAATGTTCTGCCTGCGTGTACGCCTGCAGGCCAGAAGAGGGCACCAGATCTCTTTACAGATGGTTGTGAGCCACCACATGGTTGCTGGGAATTGAACTCAGGACCTCTGGAAGAACAGTCAGTGCTCTTAACCGCTGAGCCATCTCTCCAGCCCCCTAGATTCATTCTTAAGATGCCTCTGTGTCTTCATTCCACGGACCGCATGAACCCACACACTCATGTAGCTACTCACACAGCTACAGGCCCAGAAGAAACCTTCACTGATTTCTTACAAAGGTTGTCTTCAGCAGTAAATAGAATGATACCAAATTCAGAAGCTAGACAGATAATAATTGAATCTCTGGCTTTTGAAAATGGTAATGCACAATGCAAGTCAAGATCAGCACCCTTGGAGGAAAGGATCTGAGACACAATGAATATTGAATCTCATGACCCTGATGATACTTGGATAGGAGAGGTAATTTCCAGAGGTTTGAAGAAAAATAGTAATGTCAGATGTTTCAATTATGGTAAACAAGGTCACCTAAAAAGGGACTGTAAACAGGGCATTCCTAAAAATAATGTTTTTGTTAGGAATAATCCCAACAGAATGCCCCTCCTTTCTGAATTATGCAGAGGTGTGGTAAAGGCAAACATTGGACTAACAAATGTAGATCAACAAGGGACAGACAAGGTAATCCTTTGCATTTGCCACTGGGAAACTCCTTGAGGGGTATCTCATATGCCCTCATGACAAATTCGGTTCAGTCCTTTCCTACCATCATGGAGGAAACCCCTTCCCAGAGCAATTAAAGAACTTAATTCCTATTGTAAAAAACCATACTGCTCTGGATGATAGAACAGCTACAGCAGAGAGAACAAAAATTCAGGAGAAACCATAAATCAAAATTGATAAAGATGCCGGGCGGTGGTGGCGCACGCCTTTAATCCCAGCACTTGGGAGGCAGAGCAGGCGGATCTCTGTGAGTTCGAGGCCAGCCTGGGCTACCAAGTGAGTTCCAGGAAAGGCGCAAAGCTACACAGAGAAACCCTGTCTCGAAAAACCAAAAAAAAAAAAAAAAAATTGATAAAGATTAGATTTGGAAACTCCCCGAAGTTAGGGTTGGGGAAGGGTTTTGTTTTGTCTTTCAGGAAAATAAAGGCCAAGGAATTTGAACACTGAACAAATAAGACATCTAAAGAAAAAGGACAAATCATCCGGAAAAAAATCCAACAAAAAAGATTTTCTGCAGTGAACTATGACCACACCTCACAGTGAGCTTTGAAGTCTTTGAAAAGATGATACGATCCCACAAGGATGACCCCACATGGACAATGATAATGACACCAAGCTGACAAACACAACCCAAAGATCAGCTTTGGACTACAAACTGCTCAGGACAATTGGGGGCGGGGGGAGGTGGAGGGGACTGGGGAAGGGGAGGGCGGGGGAACAGGGGTTGGTGTGCAAAATGAAAAAAAAATTTAAAGAAAGGAGAAAGAGCTAAAATTAAATAAAAACTAAAAGAAAAAAAAAATCTCCTGCCTCAGCCTCCTGAGTATAGGGGCTACTGTGGCATGCTGACTGGCATGGACAGGTAGGATTTTAACAGACAGTACCTTGACCCTTCATATTGAGTAATTACAATGTCACAACTTACCTTGGGGGGTGACTCACTGTGCAACAAAAGCTGGACCATTAGCCCAGTGGGAGGGGCTTTGCTTGTTACAGATGAGGACACAGGACCATGTCTGAGTATACACAAACCTGTCTGCAAGGTTCCTCCTCGACACAGTCCTGTAGAGTGGTGGCTTCACCTGGGATCCCAAGTTGAGCCTCTTACCTGCTTCCCAGGGACTAAGTGCTGGTGGTTGGCAGGTGCCCAACAATTGCTGCCTTGAGCAAACCCCATGCTAGTATTCAGCTGCCATGGGAACAGGCAAGTGGCAACTATCAGGCCTGGAATTTCCCTTCTCCAGCCTTTCCTGCTTCAAGTTTGTACAAGGAATTTGGGGAAGAAAATGGATACATATTTGCCTGCACTAGTTAGCTTTTAGTGGCAGTGACAAAATGCCAGAGACAAACAGCTGAAGGGCACGGGGTTAATTCTGGCTCATGGCTTCAGCCTTGGTGTTGGCCCTATAGCAAATCTGAACATTATGGTATGGGCCCACGCCCAGGGACCTACTTTCTCCTATTAAGCCTGCCTCACAAATGAGCAGCAGTTGCGGGCCAAGCCTTTACCATGAGCCTGGGTCATTCTGGATACTGCCTCCCAAAAGGAGGCCCAGATCAAAGCTGAGGAACCAAGGGATGATGAGGCAGGAGGTTTCAGCTAAGACTAAAGCCACTGCTGAGATGGTAAGTGTTAGAAATGCCCCACAAGGTATGGTGGGGGTGCCCCCTGTAATGCCAGCTGTTTGGAGGTTAGGCTAGAGACCACTAGAATCCTGAAATTTTAGGTCAGTCGAGGCAACACAGAGACACCATCTCAAAAAAATCAAGAAACAACAAAAACAGCTACATCACATTACCCATCATGCATTATGACCTGTGTTTCACTCCCAGGTCTGCATAAACCATGCACAGTGGCTGGCACATGTCTATCACATACCAGAGAGAGAAAAATCAGAAGTTCAAGGTCATCCTCAGCATATTTGAGGTCAGCCTGGTCTACTTGAGACCCTCAAAACAAATAAACAAAACCAAGTCTACAAAAAAAAAAAAAAAAAAAAAGAATCCTGGTAAATATTAACATTATTCTTCTTTATTTTTATTTATTTTATTTTTTAAAGTTTTTTGAGACAGAGTTCATCTCTGTAGCCCTGGCTGTCCTGGAACTCGCTCTGTAGATCAGGCTGGCCTTGATGTCACAGAGATCCGCCTGCCTCTGCCTCCCGAGTGCTGGGATCAAAGGTGTGCGCCACCACCACCCAGCTTAACATTATCATTTCACTGTACTGTAATTATACATTTTATCTAAATTGTTCTACTTCTGAGATTTAGTAAGACAAGTCTGAAGGAGTGTCAGAGCCCATACCTTTTAAATTCATCATGTTCATTTTTGAGAGGGGGTCTCCTTAAGTATCCCCGGGTAGCCTGGAACTCACTATATAGATCAGTCTTGACCTCACTCTGGGAGAAATCCTCCTGTCTCAGTCCCCTGAATGCTGGAATTAACAAGTGTGCATATCCGTATCCACCCATTCTGTCACAGGTAGAAGGGTTTCAGAAATTATTGAGGTCCATCCTCTTTAGTTTCCTTCCCAGGGGCCCAGAAGACACACTACTAACAGCAAGAATAATCTGAGGGAAAGGAGCTCTTTTGTCCATCCTCTTTATTCCTCTGAGATTAAATTCTATCTACACAGCTTCAATTCTGTTCTTATACTCAGCTCCTCTCTGTCCTTTCTCCTCCTGTCCTCTCATAACTCTAACTCTTTTCTGTCTCCGTCCTCATCTTCATCCTCATTCTTCTCCATCGTGGTTCCTTTCCCTTCCTCTCCCAGAACTGGTCTCAGACCTACCAGCAGCCCGACTCTTAACAACAGAATGCAAGACTTCTACTTCATATTTCTGCTTCAGCCTGTAGCAGAAGATTGAAGGGTGAGGCTCCATCAGGACATGGTGGGGGGACCCTTGCCAGGCAGTGTCAGACACTCCCACATCTATGCTCTCTGGAGCCTCAGCTCCTGGTTCCACCCTTTCTCATGGGTCCTGAGGCAGCATGGAGGGAGCAGGTGTTGAGCAGTAGAGGAGACAGTCTGAGGTTCATTCCTGGCTGAAGCCAGGCCAGATGCCTGCTTTATTTAGACAGGAAGAGCTGCTGTAGGACTCAGCCCAGCCAGCCTTTCCTCATCATGAAGGTGACAGGGAGCAGGGCTGCAATCTAGAAGACTGTGTGGGTGGAGGTCAGAGGAAAGACCCACTGAGTCAGCATAAGGCAAGGAATGGCCAGGGTGTGAACCCAAGAGGTGGCGGGAAGGCCCTTGGCAGCCTGAGCCAGGACAGTCTATCTGAAGTAGTTGGGACACTCGTGGGCGACCAGGTTCCAGGCTTGGTCAAAGGCCTCCACGACAGCCGGTTCCAGGGGCCCTTCCTCAGTGGCAGCCAAGTTCTGCTCCAGCTGCTCCAGGCTGGACATGCCCAAGATGACTGCATCCCCTTGGGTGCCCTGCAAAGGGAGACAGCCCGATCTCAGCACCTTTCTGCTACTTGGTGGTTCCTGTTGTACATGCCCCTCCTTGCCTGTCCCCTCGTAAGTTCCGGGATCTTTGTGTATATCTGTCCTGAACATCCAGGAAGGTCTGAAGGGGTCTTTGACAGCTCAATGTATGTGACTCCACTCTTGCCCCTTGTCACAGGAGCTCTTCCCTGGGGAGACTTAAGTAAAAACCCACCCTCTCTTTATAAGACACTTGCCTCGTGCCTGCCTGGCAAGCACTTTATACACCAAATGACCTCTCTAGCTCTGGAAGAAGTACTCTCTCTAGAAATAACTTAAAGGCAACTGTGGATCCCCTAAAGGGGCAGAAAATGAGTTCCTGGTGCTGGGCTACCTGGAGCTGTGAGTGGTGGTACATCCAGCGCAGGGCAGCAGAGGTCATGCTGGGGGCGCTGCTGCCATAGGTGGTCTGCAAGGCCTTTTCTACCAGGGCGATGGCCTCGAAGTGGTGTTCCTTCCAGAAGCTGAGTGGGGAGAGTGGCCAGGGGTGAGAATCTTGGGTCACACTGGGGACTAAAGCCAGAGCCTATTAAGACACTGCTCCCACCCAATCTGTAGCATGGAAAGGAGGTCTCTCTCTCCCTGGGAGTAGACCTCCTCCTTTACAGGGCTTAAGAAGCTCCTGGATTGCCCATTTGCTCCCTAGATGCCTCACTGGTAACTCCTAGACCTGTCTACCATCCGCCTAGTACAACAGAGAAGCTGCTGTAAACCCAGACTTAGCGCTGGCCGC